TTCTTCATTAAATGCATTAAAAGAATGGAAACATTTACCAAATTATACTTCAAATTCACATTTAAATTTATTACAAGCATCACAACGTATTATTGAATTACAAGAATCTGCACAGATATTATTAACTATACAAACAAATACAAATAATAATAATAACAGTGTTACTAATAATAATACATCAACATCAATTATATCAACAACAACAAATATTCGACAAACAATAAATATTTATGAACTTAGAGCAATTGTTAAAACATGAAAAAATCGTTTACCATTAATAAATGATTCATTAAGTTTTTGGAATGATATATTTACTTGGCGTGAACTTCAGTATGGTACAATAAGTTCTCAATCTGATCAAGATATTAAGGGAACAAATACATCATTAACAAGTAATACAAATACTCGTACAAATACTGGACAATTTTTACTTAGTATTCATGCTATTGCTCAATCAACTACACAATTAGGCAAAATTGCACGTAAACATCATGTCTAATATATGTATGGAAATTTTATCAAGGTAAATTTATCTGAAAATAAGAATAGTGTAATGACTTCTATATAACGTCGTATGTAACAAATTTAAAGTTGAGAAAGTAAAACGAACACATTTTTTAAGCAAGAGCAAAACTCAAGAATAGGGTCCGACGGGATTGTCTCGATCCCTATCCCGTCGGGAGCGGGATCAAGATACTGAGTAAATACATTAATGGGTTTTAAGGCCGGATGAATTGTATTCACAGAAAATGGTAACGGCATCGAAAATCCAGAAAAAATATTTTTATGGGACTGGAATCGGGATGAAAAAACCCGGTCTCGTCAGACCCTGCTCAAGAAGACCGATTAGTTGATGATGATGATTACACCTTCTTTTTTTCATGCAGTAAAATAGATTCTTTTCAACCAATTAATAAATCTAGGCAGATTCATTGCTGTAAATAAACATAGGAAATATAAAAAATACATTTCATTAGTTTTCTATATTGACATATATATCTTATTTATTATTTTTAGAATTGATACTGTTATACCAAATGTACCTGTAGTTGATAGCTTCAAAAAATTAAACAAATAATAAAATATGATTTAATTTTACTTCCAACATTATCTTCTCATGATGTTCAAAATATATTTGATCTTATTGAACAAGCTAATACAAAATATTTTACTAAAGATATGATGAGTAAATTCTATTCTTTAAAAGCTGTAGCTTATTCAAAATTAGATCGTCATGATGAGTCACAAAAACTTTTTAGTCGTTCAACACAATTATCTGATACAAGTTT